AATTCACAACAAGTTTTTTTTTTTTTTAATTTTTAAAATTGGATGAGACACCCAGCATAAGAATAGGTCTTTGGCCAACATTTGCCTTTAAAGTTTAGTAATTGGTAATGTCTTAAGTGCTGTAGCTCTGGTAGCATTGTTGTTGTTGTTGTTAAGTGCCATCGAGTCAGTTCTGACTCATAGCGACCCTGTACAGGGTTTCCGAGGGTGTAAATCTTTACGGGAGTAGAAAGCCTCATCTTTCTCCCGCGGAGCGGCTGGTAGTTTTGAACCACTGACCTTAAGGTTCGCAGCCCGATTCGTAACCACTACGCTAGTGGTAACAAATTCAGCTGCTAACCTCAAGGTCGGCAGTTCGAAACTGCCAGCCGTTCCACAGGAGAAAGATGAGACTTTCTGCTCCCGTAAATTTTTACAGCCTTTAAAACCCCTGTACAGGGTCGCTATGAGTCAGAACGGACTCCACAGTACTTAACAACAACTAACCACAAAGTCAGCAGTTCAAATTTACCAGCTGCTCTCAGGAACCCTATAGAGAGTTGCTATGAATCAGAACTGACTCAACAGTACCTGGTGGTACTGTAGGATAAACTGACTCAATTGTACTTGGTGGTACTGTAGGATAAACACTGGATTGCTAACCACAAGGTTGGCAGTTGAAACCTGTAAGCTGCTCTTAGAATCCCACCTTATGTTGTTGCTGCTGTTGTTGTGAAGTGCCGTTGAGTCAGTTTTGACCCATAGTGGCCCTCTATAGGGTTTCATAATGTATAGATCCAGAGTCTTGGTGTGGCACTGTGGGTTATTGCACTGGATTGCAAAGTCACTTTGAACCGTAAGGTCAGTGGTTCAGCCTCACCAGCTGCTCCTTGGAAACCTTACAGAGGGTTGCTATGGGTTGGAATTGACTCGATGGCACTTAACAGCAACAAGGTACAGAACCAACACAACAACATGCAATTAATCATAACAGAGAATTTGTAAAATCTAAGCAGCCCCCAGTGGTGGTGTAGGATAAGCACAGGGTCAGCAGTTCAAACCCACTGAAAAAAGATGAGACTTTCTGCTCCCTTAAAGTTTTACAACCTCAGAAACCCTATGCAGCATCACTGAGTTGAGTGAGTGAAATTTTTTTTTTTACGGTATCTGAAAAGAGGCTATTGGGATACAGTGGCTAAGTGCCGCTGTCCTGTGAAAGGTCTGCAGGATGACTTCACCAGCCTCCCTGTGGGAAAAGCTGTAGCAGCACTCGGCTTCTGTAAAGATTGTTGTCAAGTGTCTTCCAGTCACTTCGACTCATAGCGATCCTGTATAGTTCCTGAGACTCTAAATCATTGTGGGAGTCTTAGAAACCCTGTGGGGGCAGTTCTGTCCACTCTGCCATTTGAGTCACTAACCATGAGTAGAATCCTCTCTACAGCAAAGGATTTGGGTTGTTTCTGTTTTTTTTTTTTAAGAAAATCTGCTGCTGAGTGGATTTCAGCAAAACTTTCAGACTAAGACATTGTGTTGTGCAAGCAGTCGCCTTGAGTTAAATTCCAAAGCATCTAACAACAAAGGAATTCACTGTGAGCCAAGAATGATTCCCACCCTGTCCCCCTGTGGTGGGGTCAAAGCACACACCCTTGCAACCCACCCACAGGTTTCTCAGTTGTTGCCAAATTCCACTTTCAGAAGAAAATTATTCTATTCCTTTTTGACTCATTAGAATAATAAACAATCAAGAATACTTCTCTGTACTTTGAGGAGCTAGTAAATATCTTTTGGTATTTAATCCAAGGTGGGAAAATGGAACTTCAAAGAGAATTGAATTTTTCCATGCACTTTTTGAAACCCTCTCATATTGCAGTGATGGTCAGGAAAGGAGCCTACTACATTTGATGTTGTTGTTGTTAAGTGCCGTTGAGTCGGTTCTGACTCATAGCGACCCCATAAAGGGTTTCCAAGGAGCAGCTGGTGGGTTTGAACTGACGATCTTATGGTTTGATTCGAAGTCCAATGCTGAAACTACTTATGTCCAAAGAATCAAAAACCTAGAGGTGTAAGATGTGTTTTATTGCAGATCATAATTTATTATGATGATAATATATTATTGCTGAATCCAATTCCAATAAAAAAATCTGTCAGTTTCAAATACTTTTAAAATTCTTTGATCAGATCCAATGATTCTCCAAAATCCTGCATTTCCTGAGTTTTGTTTTATTTTTAATGTTTTATTGTGAATTATGTGATAGTTTACATGGGAGAACATTTACATTCACCCTGTCATATGTCACTACATTGCCATGGTTACAAATACCTGTCATGCATCATCAACCAACCAAAGGGTATATCCTGCAAGCCTGCCCCTTGGTTGTCAACACACAACCCCCTCCCTCTCTGGTTCTAAAGTCCCCAGCCACTCCATCTCTCTTGTCTCTGCCTCCATCTCTGGCACCACTGTTTCATTGGGTAGGGTCCCGCACTCCGCTCTTCTCCCTTGATGGTCCCAGGGGCCTCTGCTCCTGGATTGCAAAGTCAACCACTCCCCTCCTTTTTGCTATAGAACGTCCACCTTTACACTTCCAACCCTCACAGTCAGTCCTAATAGTAATTATTCACTGTTGTACCACATGAGTGCTATCCGCATCTCCTTTCATCAGTCCTGCCCGGAAAGATTGGGTACTGCCCAGTGGAGATTCTACCTTCTTCTGCACCCATTGGATCTAGGCTCTCTCTTGAATGTGGTTGGACTTAGCTCGCAGCTTATTTGCTGTTTTTCGCTCACTTCCCCTTTTCGGTGGCCAACGTGGTCATCAGTCAGAGCACTTGTCTGCTTGTGTATTCCCATTAAGTCTTAGTCTTGCAGGGGGTTTGCCCACTTGGCGTTGCTGTCTCCTGGGTGAACAACTTGCTTGTTCTTGTAGTAATCAGTCAGACTGCCATTATTGTTTTGTATTTTTCCTGTCGGTCTTTCTTTTTAACAACAACAGAAACTTTATTTTTTAGCTTTGTATTATGAATTGAGTGAAAGTTTACAGACATGATCATCAGCTTTACATTCAACAAATTATATACTTTTCATCTCAATGATTACAATCCCCTCCCTGCAATAACAGTTATCCTGCTTCCTCCTTGTGGCTTCCCACTTACAATTATATTTCCCAAATGAACAAAGCAGAAATATTTGATATACACATACAAAACAAAAATATTCCTTCAAATGGCCAAAGTACACATTCTTCAGGCCAGCTTCTTGCTGTACGGCACACAACCTTACTTAGTCCATGGACCTAGAGCCCACAAATGCTGTCTGTCCATGCCACTGTCTCGCTGCAACAACAGCACTTAATTCAATTAAATTTTTATTATATATGTATTTCTTACCAATTACAGTAACATGTAATGATTTCAAGATCTTTAGGTGAAATTCAAAGTGTTAGCTCTTCTCCATGAAATCTGACAGGCTTTATATTGGGAGTCTAGTAGGTTGCAGTTTTCATATTTAACAAGGCAGGTTAATGCACTGGACTACAAAGTCATTTGAACTGCAAAGTCAGTGGTTCAAGTTCACCAGTTGCTCCTCAGAAACCCTATACAGGGTAGCTATGGGTCAAAACCCACTCGATGGCACTTAACAAGTGTCTAGTGCTTATGATTTATGTGGGATGAATTTGCTTAGAGACCAGAATGGGGTAAGAAGGAAAGAAGAAAGGGAAGACAGTAGTGTGACTATACTGTGTAGTTTTTAAGAACTGAGCCACTGAGAAAATAAACAACTCTCTCATTAAAGAATGATAGCAAAAGTAAGTCTGAGCTACTTAATTTCTAAAGAGATTTTAACATTTGATGTTTAGCAATCGATGACTCATGGATTCAGTCCATTTCCAGTGTACTAGCTTAGTGGTTGTCTCAGTGTTCGTTTCCCAGACATCAACATCAGCACCTTCTGGGAGCTTGTTTGTTGTTGTTAAGTGCCATTGAGCTAATACGGACTTTTAGGGAACCTGTGTAGGGTTTCTAAGGAGCTGCTGGTGAGTTTGAACTGCCGACCTTGCTGTTCAAATTGACGTTGCAGTCCAATGCTTATCCTACAGTGCTACAGTACTCCTGGGAGCCTAGAATTGCAAATTCTCAGGCTATTGCCATCAAGTCTTATAATGACTCTGTAAGGGAAGCAGATGGCCACATTTTTCTCCAGCTGAGAAGCTGATGGGGTCAAACCACTATCTTTGGTTTAACAGCCAGATGCTTTAATACACTGTACGACCAAGACTTGGGTCCTAGGGGGCAGGCTTGCAGAGTACATCCTTTGGTGTGTTGATGATGCATGGAGGGGATTGTAACCATGGCAATGAAATGATATACGATAGGATGAATGTAACACTAATGTTCTCCCATGTAAACTATCACATAATTCACAATAAAATATTTCCAAAAAAAAAGATTTTGAGTCCTAATGCTAGACAAAATAAGGAGAAGGTGGGAGAGAGAGGGAAGAAGATAATTTTTATACTTAATCACATCAGGATGAAAATCAGGCAACCAAGAATTTCCTTTCTTTGGAATATGTTGTTGTTATGAGGGGGCTACAAAAAGTCCTGGTGTGGTGCTGTAGGATAAGCACTGGACTCTGGACCCAGGTAGCCACAAGGTTGGCAGTTCAAACCCACCAGCCACTCTCAGAAACTCTATACAGAGTAGCTCTGAGTCTGAACTAACTCCATGGCAGACAACAACAAGAAGCTCGTGGAGGAGAAATGGAATTTAAAGGTAATGTAATTTTCCCTTGAACTTTTTGAAGCCACCTCATGTATTCTGGTCTTGTTGCACTAGCAGTAAACCTTTTATGTGTTTTTCTGACTTGACTGATATAAAGAAGGGATTTGTTGCAGGTTGCTTATATTTAAGTAAATGCCCTAAACAAAAGTAATAATTTTACATTAGCTATTTTTCATGCATTTATTCCCCTTTTAAATTAGGGGCTAAATAATACCTGTCTCTTGGATCTGTTACTTTAGGTTAAAAATGTTTCTGTTGGTTCACAAGACATGCCCCCACCACCATCTGACTATGTGGAGCAAGTTGACAGTTCCATGGCATACTTTTCCAATGGTAAAGTGAATGGCAAGCGGTCCTACCCAGATTCTGTCTACAAATCAACACCGTGAGTACTGTCTTTTACCATTCATTCTGCTTTGAAAATATCCAGCTGTGTGTATTAAAGCTGGAAATTGAGCTTTGTGTTGTAACTAGAGTACTTGGAAGACCATGATGAAGAGGGCAGCGTTGTGAATTGATGGAGCCCTATTTCTTCACTTCTAAACTGCTGGTGTGGCATTGTGGCTTAATGTGCTGGATTGCAAGGTCAGTTTGAACTGCAAGATTGGCAGTTTGAGCTCACTAACCACTCCTTGGAAACCCTATACAGGGTTGCTATGAGTCGGAGCTGACTGGACGGCACTTAACAACAACAAAAACAAACTGAAAGTGCATTCACGTGGCGGTGTGGGGTTCTGTCACGCTAGGAATGTCGCTCTGTGTGCTCTCTTATATGTCTGATTTTGGTGGTGGTTATGTGCTGTAAAGTCGATTCCGACTCATAGTGACCCTGTATAGGGTTTCCGAGGCTGTCAGTCTTCGCAGGGCAGGAAGCCGCATCTTTCTCCCATGTTACTTTACCCTAGAGTCAGTGAAAAAGAGGAAGGTCTTCAATGAGATAGAATGATACAGTGACAGCAGCAGTGAGCTCAAACAACAGCAATTGTGAGGGTGGTACCGGACTGCGTAGGGTTTCATTCTCTTGTTGCATAGTCAGTTGGAGCCAATTTGATGGCACAGAACAACAATAACAAAGCCCAATTCTAATTTATCCTAATGATTGATAGTAGTGAGAGAAGGATGTTAGAGATTTTGTTAAGGGCTTTGATATAATTTATGATTGTTATTATTATTGTTATGATGATACATTAGTTGCTCCTATGTAAGGAGCTTAGAGTCCTGTGTGGTGCTGTAGGATAAGCATTGAACTGCAAGGTCAGTTTGAACTGCAAGGTCGGCAGTACAAATCTATCTGTTCCTTGGAAACCCTATACAGGGATGTTATGAGTCGGGAGTGATTCGACAGCTCCTAACAGCAACAACATCACCTAAGGAGCCCTGGTGGCGCTGTAGGATGACTGCTAACTATAAGGTGATCAGTTCAAATCTACCAGTTGTTCCATAGGAAAACGATGTGGCTTTCTGCTCTCATAAAGATTTCCTGCTTTGGAAACTCTATATAGGGTTGTTATGAGTTGGAATCAACTTGGTGACAGTGGGTGGTGGTGGTTGTTGTTAAGTGCCATTGAGTCGGTTCTGACTCAGCAACCCTGTATAGGGTTTCCAAGGTTGTATGCTTTTGTGGGAGCAGAAAGGTTCATCTTTATCTCTCAGAGCAGCAGGTGGGCTCGACCCAACAACCTTTTAGATTGCAGTCCAGTGCTTATCATGGGTTGTTGTGTGTTGTTAAGTGCCATCGAGTCAGTACTGAGTCATAGCGACCTTATGCACAGCAGAACAAAACACTACCCAGTCCTAAGTCAGCCTCACAATTGTTGCCACACTTGAGCCCATTGATGCTGCCAATTTGCCAATCCATCTATCATGAGTTGTTGTTGTTCTATCATAGGTTGTTGTTGTTAAGAACCATCGAGTCGATTCTGACCCATAGCGACCCTGTATGGGGTTTCTGAGGAGCAGCTGGTGAGTTTGAACCGCTGACCTTGCAGTTCATTCAACTTTGCAGTCATATAATTCTAAGGAACCCTGGTGATCTTTGCTGTTATTGCTGGTGTGAGATTATATCTCATTGTTGTTTTGATTTGCAGCTCTCTAATGGCTGGTGATCGTGAACATTTCTTCATATGTTTGTTGGCTGCCCTGATCTCTTCCTTAGTGAAGTGTCTGTTCATGTCCTGTGCCCATTTTTCAATTGGGTTATTTGTCTTTTTCTTGTAGTGTTGTAGTTTCCTATATATTTTAGAAATGAGTCCCTTTTTTGATGTGTCGTTGCAAAAGATTTTTTCCCATTATTTGGTTCCCTTTTTACTCTTTTGGTGAAGTATTTTGGTGCACATAAGTTTTTAATTTTTAGTATGTCCCAATCATCTATTTTGTCTACTTTTGTTTGTGTAATTTTCAAAATGTTTGGTAGTCTGTGTATGCCCTGAATTAGAGCCCTCACATTGGTCCCTGTTTTTTCATTGATGACCTTCATAATTTTGGGATTCACATTTAGGTCTTTAATCCATGCTGAGTTCGTTTTTGTATAGGGCATGAGGTAAAGGTCGTGTTTCAATGTTTTGCATATCGCTTTCCAGTTCTGTCAGCATCATCTGTTAGAGACTATTTCCTCCCCATGTGCAATTACCTAGGCACTTTGTCAAAAATCAGTTGGCTGTATGTGGATGGGTTAATTTCTGGATTCTCGATTCTGTTCCATTGATCAATGTATCTTTCATTGTACCAGTACCAGGTTGTTTTGACCACTGTAGCCGTGTAGTAAATTTTGAAGTCGGGAATTGAGATGTTTCCAAACTTGTTCTTTTTCTTAAGCAGTGCTTTGTTTATCCTGGGCCTCTCTCCTTTCTATATAAACTTTGTGATTGTTTTTTCCATCTCTTTGAAGAATGTCATTGGAATCTGGATTGGGATTGCATTATATGTGTAAATTGCTTTGGGCAGGATTGACATTTTCACAATGTTAAGTCTTCCTATCCAGGAACATGGTATGTTCTTCCACTTCTGTAAGTCTCTTTTGGCTTCTTGTAGTAGTGTTTTGTAATTTTCTTTGTTTAAGTCCTTTGTTTCTCTGTTTATGTTTATTTCTAAATATTTCATTCTTTGGGTGGCTATTGTAAATGATATTGCTTTCCTAGTGTCCTTTTCAGTGCTGTCATTGTTACTGTAGAGGAATCCAACTGATTTTTGTATGTTGATCTTATACCCTGCCACTTTGCTGAATCTTCCAATGATGTCTAGTAGTTTTTTTTTTTTGTTTTTGTTTTTTACTGTGTCTGGGGTTTTCTATGTATAGGATCATATCGTCTGCATATAGAGAGAGTTTTACTTCCTCTTTGCCAATTTGAATGCCTTTTATATCCCTATCTTGCCATATAGCTCTGGCTAAGACTTCCAAAATAATATTGAATAGGATTGGTGACAAAGGGCATCCTTGTCTGGTTCCCATTCACAGCAGGAAGGCTTTCAGTTTCTCTCCATTGAGAGTGATGTAGGCTGTTGGTTTTGTATATATGCTCTTCATTGTGTTGAGGAATTTCCCTTCAATTCTCACTTTGTTGAGTGTTTTTGTGAGGAATGGATGTTGGATTTTTTTCAAATGCCTTTTCTGCATCAATTGATATAATCATGTGGTTCTTTTCCTTTTTCTTATTTATGTGGTGGATAACATTGATTGTTTTTCCAATGTTGAACTATCCTTGCATCCCTTTTATGAAACCCACTAGGTCATGATGTATTAATTTTTTGATATGCTGCTGGATTCTGTTGGCTAGGCTTTTGTTGAGAATTTTTGCCTGTATGTTCACGAGGGATATTGGTCTATAATTTTCTTTCTTAGTGATGTCCTTCCTGGTTTTGTTATGAGGGTTATGCTTGCTTCATAAAAAGCATTAGGAAGTTTTCCATCCTCTTCTATTTTCTGGAATAATTTGAGTAGAATTGGTGACAGCTCTTCCCTAAATTTTTGGTAGAACTCACCCGTGAAGCCATCTGGGCCTGGACTTTTTTTGGTAGGTAGTTTTTTGATGACCTGATCAATTTCTTTTTTTGTTATGGGTCTATTCAAGTTTTCTACGTCACGCTGAGTAAATTTAGGTAGGTATTGTTTCTCTAAAAATGTAACCATCTCTTTTAAGTTTTCGAATTTGTTGGAGTACAAATTCATAGTTTTCTGTTATTATCCTTTTGATTTTGTTTGGTTCCATTGTGACATCGCCCGTGTGGTTTCTAATGCAAGTTATTTGTTTCCTCTCCCTCTTTTTTTTGTTAGTTTGCCAATGGTTTGTGAATTTTATTAATCCTTTCAAAGAACCAGCTTTTTGTCCTGTTGATTCTTTGTATAGTTTTTCTGTTTTCCATCTCTTTATTTCTGCTCTTATCTTTATTATTTCTTTTCCTTTGGTGACTGTAGGTTCCCTCTGTTGGTCTGTTTGTAATTGTTGGAGATGCTGTGTTAATGTGTTAATTTTGGTTCTTTCCTCTTTTTGGATATGAGCATTTATTGCAATAAATTGTCCCCTCGGCACCACTTTCACTGTTTCCCAAAGATTTTGGTATGTTGTGTTTTCATTCTCGTTTGTTTCTAGGAACTTTGTGAATTTACATTTAATTTCTTCTTTTACCCAGTTGCTTTTCAGTAGGGTGTTATTCAGGTTCCATGTATTCATCTTTATTTCCTTGGTCTTCTTATTGTTGATTTCTAGTTTTATAGCATTGTGGTCTGAAAAGATGCTTTGTTGTCTTTTGATGCTTCAAAATTTATGGAGGCTCTTGCTTTGTGGCCTAACACATGGTCAATTCTAGAGAATGTTTATTCTGGAATGTTTTTATTGCACCATCATATTTGATTGATAGTTTTGCTGGATAGTCGATTCTTGGTTGGCAGTTTTTTTTCTTTTGGGTTTTCTATATGTCTCCCCATTGTCTTCTTGCCTTCATGGTTTGTGCTGAATAGTCCTAGCTTCATCTGATTTGCTTTCCTGTATAAGTGACACTTCTCTTTTCCCTGGCCTCTTTTAAGATTCTCTCCTTGTCTTTGATTTTAGAGATTTGATTATTATATGTCTTGGTGACTTTCTTTTGGGGTCTATCCTTCCTTCAGTATGTTCAGCTTCTTTAATGTTTATCTTTTCATCTTTCAAGATGTTAGGAAATTTTCTCCTAGAAGCTCTTCAACTATCTCCTCTGTGGAGTCCTCTGATTCTTCCTGTTCTGGAATGCCAATAATTCTTAAGTTGTTCCTCTTCATTTTATCCAGCATGAATCTTAGACTCTCTTCAGATTTTTTTATCCTTTTTTCAGCTTGCTCTTCTATCTTAGAAGTATTGAGAGATTTGTCTTCCAGATCACTAGTTCTGGCTTCCATCTCTTCTATTCTGCCCCTTT